AGGATGCTCCATCATTACAAGTACCATTCGCATCCCAAGCTCCAGCGCAAGGAGCGCACCGCGGAATTGGAGAAGAAAGTGAAGGAGCTGCGTGGGAAGCTGAAAGGCAGCAAGCGCATGTGCAAATGCTTTTGCCCCATCCACCAGTTGAAGTGCCCGTTGGCGCCAGTCGTGCATCACGAGAAGCGCCGGCCGGGCAGCGACGCTGGGATAACCGCCGAGGAGCGGAGATTCTTGGACGAGCTGAACCCGCAGCCCGCCCGGTGGAGAAAGGCCTCGGGGCGGGGCGCCTAGAGAGGATGGCGCGCGGCATCGGTCGGGACTTCTGATTTTTTTGTTTCCACGGCGTTCGCGCTCGGCGCAGTTCGGAGGAGCAGTAAGACGCGCTTGGCGCAGCGCGTGCAGTTTGTGCAAGGGCGCGAGCCCGTCGCTCCAGACGGCTCTTCCCCTCTCCGCCGCCGCGCTGGGCATTGCACCCGCAAGGTCAGCCCATTGTTTGCTCCCTTTCTCCGCGGCATTGCACCCTCGGGGTCAGCCAGCTTTGTTTTTTCCTCTCCGCCGCCTCGCTGGGCATTGCGCCCGCAGGGTCAGCCCATTGTTTGCCTTTCTTTCTCCGCGCCATTGCACGCGAACGGTCAGCGCGAGGAGGAAGAGGAGGAACAGGAGGAGGGGGAAGAGGAGGAGGAGGAAGAGGAGGAAGAGGAGGGGCAGGGGGGGAGGAGGAAGAGGAGGAGGAGGAGCAGGGGCCGCCCAGGCTATCATGCCCTTTCGTGATTCCCTCGGCAGTTGTTGAGGACCTATGAGCGACGCTGAACTTTATTCATTCTACATGTTGTACTGAGCCATTCTGAATGATGGATGGTCGTTGGTCCACTTGTTGAGGCGTCGCCTCTCCGCTCCTCTCCTCTTCCGGCGCCCCGCCCTCCCTTTGAGGTCTTCGGCGGTTTGCGCCGTGGCGACCTGCTGCGCTGCCTTTTTCGTCGATTTTGCTTGTTCGCTCTCTGGGGCGTGAGCCCGAGCTGAACCCAGCTCTGAACGGCTCATTTCAACTCAGCGCCAGTCTCAGTGAGTTTGGAGCAGCGAGTCTTTCAATCACGCGGTGCCCGTAGCGCGACGTTCGCGCTTCTGCAGCCCATTATTTTCCCATGTAGTTCGCGCTCGGCGCAGCTTGTTGCATCTTTGCCGTTCGGCGTAGTACATCTTATAGTGTGTGCTTATGTATCGCACTGTCCTTCCTTCACGTCGTACCACTGATGAGGCATTTGGAGAAAAATGAAAGCTTCCGATGTATTTTCGACCTTGCCGCCATCTCCTGCAACAGCAGTCGGACGTGACGTTTTTTTAGCTTCCGTCTGGAACAATGAGAGCAATTGAGGCGTCGAGTACGGATGCGCAGGCAGAATAACATGTTTCTGCGAGAAGCATTTGATCGTTTCGGTTGCTTTTACATGTGTTTTCGCATTATTCTGGGCTTCGCGTCCCGCGCGGGCGCTCGATTGAATTTATTTTGAAGCAGTTTTTGGGCGTCTGGGGTCGTTTTAGAAGCCATCGGGGCGCTCTGGGGGGGGGGGGGCATCTTCGAGCAAATCTATCAAAGAAAAACAGAGTTTTAATTAGCGCTTCCCCTCCAGACTGTCTAAAATCGCATCCTGGACCCCTCTTGGATCGCTCTTTGACGCTGTTGAGGCAGTCTTGAGGCTCTTTTGGGCCCCTGTTGGGGCCCTGTTGGGACATTTCGGCGCCATATTGAGGCCTCGGATGGGCTTCGGAAGCGAAAAAGTGAGAACGCCAAAAACATTGATTTCCCCCGGGCTTTGAAGCATTTCGGCCTTTTGAAGGCACTCTAATGATGCTCTTGTGGGCACTTGTTTTGGAGCGGTATTGGAACGTGTTGGAGCGTCTTCTGAACCATCTTCAGGCATCTTGCGCTATCTTGAGCCATATGGGAAGCGATCTTGGGCTTTCTGAGGCCCTCTTGGAGCCGTCCTGGGCCATCTTGGACGCTCTGACCGCTCCCCGCCCGTCCTGTCCAGGTCAGTGGGGAGGGGGTAGGGGGAGGGGTAAACCCCTCCCCGAAAGGGAAGAGGGAGGGGTGGAAGAGGAAACGCCCTAAACCACTGACGCCCGTCCAGAAACGACGCCCAGGCGAGTGGAGGGTCGTCCTGAGGAACTTTTCTGCGTCTTGGGTGCCTCGGGGGGGCCTCTGTGGGCCGTTCGGGATCCTCTTTGGGGCCTCCTGGGGGCCTCTCGGGGCCTCTTGGGGCCATTTTGGCGCCTTTGGGGGCCTCCTGGGCGCTTCTTGGGGCATCTTGGAGGTCATTTTGGGCTCTCCGGGGCGCTCTTGGAGTCATCTTAACCAGTGCCCCCCCCCAAAAGGCCAACATGTGGCTAAAACGCTAGTGCAAACAATGGTTTGACATTATCGCCGACGCCTCTGGGAGCACCTTGGGTGCCCCTGGGGGGTCTCTTGGGGCCTCTTGGGGGTCTCTTGGGGGCCTCCTGGGGGCCTCTTGGGGGGCCTCTTGGGGCCATCTTGGGGCCATCCTGCGGCCTCTTGGGGCATCCTGGGGGCATCTTGCGGCCATCGTGGAGGAAATCGATTAAAGAAGAGGGGAGCTTCAATTAGTGCTGCCCCCTCAGAAGGCCAAAAATGGTGCCCAAACCATAGTACAATCAATGATTTTGGCTTCCTCGCCGAGGCCGTTTTGGACGCTATGACCGCTCCCCGCCCCTCCTGTCCAGGTCAGTGGGGAGGGGGTAGGGGGAGGGGTAAACCCCTCGCCGAAGGGGAAGAGGGAGGGGTGGAAGAGGAAACGCTCTAAACCACCGACGCCCAGAGGGCTGGTGGGATCGTTTCGGTTGCTCTTACATGCGTTTTCGCAATATTCTGGGCTTCGCGTCCCGCGCGAGCGCTCGATTGAATTTAATTTGAAGCAGTGTTTGGGCGTCTGGGGTCCTTTTAGACGCCATCGGGGCGCTCTGGGGGGGGCATCTTCGAGCACATCTATCAAAGAAGAGCAGAGCTTTAATTAGCGCTGCCCCTCCAGACTGTCTAAAATCGCTTCCTGGACCCCTCTTGGATCGCTCTTGGAGCGCTCTTGGACGCTGTTGTGGCAGTCTTGAGGCTCTCTTGGGCCCCTGTCGGGGCCCAGTTGGGACATCTCGGCGCCATATTGAGGCCTCGGATGGGCTTCGGAAGCGAACAAGTGAGCACCCCCAAAACATTGATTTTCCCTAGGGTTTTGAAGCATTTCGGCCTTTTGAGGGCACTCTAATGATGTTCTTGTGGGCACTTGGAACCATCTTGGAGCGGTATTGGAACGTGTTGGAGCGTCTTCTGAACCATCTTCAGGCATCTTGCGCTATCTTGAGCCATCTGGGAGGCGATCTTGGGCTCTCTGAGGCCCTCTTGGAGCCGTCCTGGGCCATCTTGGACGCTCTGACCGCTCCCCGCCCGTCCTGTCCAGGTCAGTGGGGAGGGGGTAGGGGGAGGGGTAAACCCCTCCCCGAAGGGGAAGAGGGATGGGGTGGAAGAGGAAACGCCCTAAACCACCGACGCCCGTCCAGAAACGACGCCCAGGCGAGTGGAGGGTCGTCCTGAGGAACTTTTCGGCGTCTTGGGTGCCTCGGGGGGGCCTCTGTGGGCCGTTCGGGATCCTCTTTGGGGCCTCCTGGGGGCCTCTTGGGGCCTCTTGGGGCCATCTTGGCGCCTTTGGGGGCCTCCTGGGCGCTTCTTGGGGCATCTTGGAGGTCATTTTGGGCTCTCCGGGGCGCTCTTGGAGTCATCTTAATCAGTGCCCCCCCCCAAGAGGCCAACATGTGGCTAAAACACTAGTGCAAACAATGGTTTGACATTATCGCCGAGGCCTCTGGGAGCACCTTGGGTGCCTCTGGGGGCTTCTCTTGGGGCCTCTTGGGTGTCTCTTGGGGTCCTCCTGGGGGCCTCTTGGGGGGCCTCTTGGGGCCATTTTGGGGCCATCCTGCGGCCTCTTGGGGCATCCTGGGGCCTCTTGCGGCCATCGTGGAGGAAATCGATTAAAGAAGAGGGGAGCTTCAATTAGTGCCGCCCCCTCAGAAGGCCAAAGTGGGGCCCCAATCATAGTAAATCAATGATTTTGGCTTCCTCGCCGAGGCCGTTTTGGACGCTCTGACCGCTCCCCGCCCCTCCTGTCCAGGTCAGTGGGGAGGGGGTAGGGGGAGGGGTAAACCCCTCCCCGAAGGGGAAGAGGGAGGGGTGGAAGAGGAAACGCTCTAAACCACCGACGCCCAGAGGGCTGGTGGGATTGGTTTTTGGATTTTTTAAACTGGGTTTAGATAGAGAGTTCAAAACTGGTTTTTAATTTGGAAGCATTATCTCACCCTTTCTCTTTTTCCATCGTTCGAGCCCTTGTGTCGAGATCGGCGAAGTGGTATTTGGGGGCTGCCAGACACCGGTGGCACTTTTTTGGTGGAGGCCTCTTCCAGTCGCAGAAGGAACGACGCAGGAGGCACGAGGCACGAGGACGGAGAGAATCAGAGTGAAAGGCTCCCTCTCACACGACTCCATACCAAGTCACCCGCGCGTTGGCTGGGTCAGGGTGCACATGCGTTGTTGCAAGCACCCTGCGCACGCCATGTGTCCTCTTCTCTTCTTTTCTGTTCGATGTTCCAGGAGATCCTGGCGCATCGTGGGCCCCCCTTTGGAGGGCGGGACGGCGAGCCTCTCGGCAGCCTTTGTGGGCCCTTCGGGGCTACAGGGGGGGGGGCTCGGGGTCCAGGGAGGTCCAAGGTTCCAACGTTGGTGCCCGACGCGGGTTGCACAGAAGTCACTGCGTCTGAGAATCAGCGCCAACGTCGGGCTTCGATCTTGGTTTGAAGTAGTCGACGTCAGCGCGGTTCTTTCTGCGCATCCGCGCCTGTGGGAGTTGTGGTCGACAGCACGGCCTGGCCCGATGCGCTGGGCAAGTGCAGAGTCCCTGCTGATCTGCTGGGCTGCGTTGTGCTCCTCTCCTCCAGCGCAGGCGGCCTCGTTCGACAAGGCCCTGTCTGTGGTCTGCCCGTGGCGCCACGAGCTCCGGGACCAGCTGCCGCGAGGCCCCCAGCCCCGCAGGGTCGTGCAGGGGCATGAGGGCGAGGCGAGAAGTACATTCAGACTTTTTCGGCCTCGGGAGCCTCCTCGGCAGTTGTTCGCTCCGTCTTCTCCCGCACCTGAGAAAGGGGCCATTCCCCAGGGAGGCTTTCGGAGGTGTAATGTGCCTCGGCGGGTACAGAAGTCTCATACCCGAGCTGGAACGAAGCTCACCCAGGGGTGCAGGTTGTGTGTTGGGTGCGGTGGAGGAGGATGAGGAGGATGAGGAGGAGGGGTAGGAGGACAAGCTAGGTGCGCTCGCGTCATATCTGACGTCCTACCCCTCCCTCCCATCCCTTACCATGGCGCTGATTTTTCTCTATCCGCGGACGCGTGTCGTAGCGGACCTGTGGCTCCGCGCGCGCGTGCGTAGTGGGTGGTGGTGCGCGTGCGTGCGTGCGTGCGTGTGTGCGTGGTTGTGGTGGTGGTGGTGGTGGTGGTGGTGGTGGGTGGTGGTGGGTGGTGGTGGTGGTGGTGGTGGTGGTGGTGGTGGTGGTGCGGCGCGGTGGTGGCGGGCGGATGGGCGCGCGAGAAAGAGGCCCGCGCTGGGGCGAGAACGCCATCCTGAACGACGGAGGCCAAACACCGATCCGAAAATGAGGCCCACGCTGCAGTGGGAGCACGATTCGGAACGATTCGGGAGCAGAAATGAGGCCGGCGCCTCAGCGAGAGCAGCATTTTGAAAAAAAACGCAGGCGAAAACCCAACTCCCGGGAATCCAGTGTGTAAAAAAAACAGTACGCGGGGGGGGGTCGGCCACTCCCAGCACGCCATCAGGGGAAGAGGGAGAGTAGTATTCATATTGAGTAATTGTAGAGTAGGAGGAGAAGGATGATGAGGAGAAGGATAATGAATATGGCGTAGGAGGAGGAGGAGGAGGAGGAGGAGGAGGAGGAGGAGGAGTAGGAGCTGGAGGAGGAGTAGGAGGAGGAGGAGAAGGAGGAGGAGGAGGAGGAGGAGGAGGAGGAGCCGCTCCCCGCACCCTCCTCCCCTCGCTTCCCTCCCGCTGGCAGCCCGACATCGCGACAGCGACAGCGCGGCTCGCCTATGGAAGATGATCCTGCTCTCGGTGACGGGGGTCATCTTTGGGCGTCTCAGGTGGCCGAGATCTTACTGCCCAGCACCAGAATCAAGGGTCATTCTGGGAAACTTCGCGGGAGTCTAGATCAGAGGGGTTTAGATTCGTAGGGTTTCGGGCGTGTGTGTGGCTGTATTATAATGGAATGGTTTTGGGTTTTGATGATGGTGCTGACTGTTGATTCGGATGATGATGATGCTGCTGATGATGATGATGCTGATGCTGATGACGGTGCCGATGATGATGGCGATGATGATGATGCTGATGCTGCTGATCACGATGACCTTGCTGATGCTGATAATGGTGGTGATGCTGCAGCTGATGATGTTGTTGCTGATGATGAGGAGGAGGACACTGTTGAGGATGTTGTCGATGATGATGCTGCTGATGATGACTATGAAGAGGATGATGCTGATGATGCTGCTGAAGCTGATATTGATGATGCTGGCGGTGATGATGATGTTGCTATGCTGATGACGATCTTGAGTCTGTCTTACCGTGCGCATCAGTGTACGGATATCAGTGCACCAGTCCATCCCCAGTTGAGCAGCAATCAGAAGCCACCCTGTCGCTTCTCATGTTTATGAGATATGCCTGTCGCAGCGTCCATCAGTCTGCGCAGCATATCCTGCTCTCACCAAGCCACCTGCGCACCCACGCTTCGTTTCTTTCTGCTGCCTGTCCGAGCACTCGAAACATTGGGAATCTATTTGCCCAACGGCCTGTCGCGGGATCCCAGACGCGCAACTTCCACGAAGGCGCGTCGCGCAGACCAGGGGTGTGGTGAAGCTGGAATTCCCCGTTTAATCACCCGCAACGTTCACATTGAACAGTATTGTTAACCATGCTGGGCATAACAGGTGTTCCATGGCTGTGCACTCCTCCTGGTTATGGGTGTGCTGGTGGTGGTAGTGGAGGTGCTGGTGCTGGTGCTAGCGCTTATGCTGGAGCTGCTGGCGCAGCGCCAGGTGCTGGCGCAGTACCTGTCGGTGATGCTGGTGCTGGCGCGGGTGCTGGAGGTGCTGGCGCAGCGCCTGGTGCTGGCACAACGCCTGGTGGTGGTGCGGGTGCCGGCGCCGCGCCTGGTCCAGGTGTTGGTAGCTCTGGTTCTGGAGGGTGGCCTGGCGTGGGTTGAAGCTTATCGTTCGCCGTGTTCTATGTCTTTGCTTTTTTCTTCGTCTTCATCTTCGGTCCCGCATGGTCCAAGCCAGCCAGTTTTCGTTTCTGGTTCACTACGGATTCGGCACATCGCTGCTGACCTTTCTCTCATTGATCGCCTTCCCGACCTGTGGGGGCTCATTCTGATCTTCCGCGTCGGGATCCTTGAAAACTACTTCGATCAGTGCGTCCCGAACAGCCGAGGTGCAGTTCGCTTCGTGCGTAGAAGGGCTTGTAGTTCATATCGCCTGTGCCAAGCGACTTACCAATAACGTTGCGAGTTTCCTTCGGGGTCGTCGTCCCACGGCTGTGCCCACACCGCGGGTGCGAGCGCACTGCAAGGGGTCCTGAAAGTTCAATGTGTTTGCAGGGATGTTGTCAGTGCGTGCCTCATGAAAACGGTTGTGTCTGCGGTCTGCCCCATGCGATTTCCAGTTCGACCAGCACGAAGGCTGCTGCAGGGACAACTTTCGTAGGGCCAACCAACCGGACCCTTTTCAAGGTTCTAAGCACATGTTGCGGCGATTCCACCGACGGATGCGCATTGCAGCTCAAAAGCATGACCCAAACATTCTAGACCGCAGACGCTAACATGACAACAAAAAGCTCAAACCTTCAAGCCCGACATTTACACATCTGATAAATCCGTTGCAGCCAGGTCGCCCGTAAAGAACGACCACGCAACATATTTCCCGAACGCTGATCCTTGGTAAGTGTGAAATGCGTGGTGTCGGCGCAGCTGCCAGCACAGGAAGGCCCATGTGTGGTTGCCAGCAGACAAACAGAAACGGTCCCCCCACCGAACGACTTGCAGAGTTGACTTTAGCCTCGTGAAGCGAGCTGCGGCCAAGCTCACCTAATTGTTTGTTTGCCGCTGATCAATATATTCGTGCAGCCACATCCATGCCGCTGCAGTTCTGTTGGTCGGCTCTTCGTCCAAGGTCGGCAAGTGCCTGTTTCCCAATTTTGTGGTTTATCTTATCGGTAGTTGATGCTTTCAATTTTCGTGTTTTGATGCGATCGCCTTGATTATCAGTATCTTGGACTTGTTGATGACGCCCCTCTTGGTTATAGCGGCTCTGTGATGCGCTCCGTGCGCTTCGAACACTCCACTTGCGTTGATAAGTTGCTGGAGTTTAGAGCGCTGCGTCTTCTTGTTGGAATTCGCAAGAGCATCGCGCCTCAACTTGCCATGGGTGTCTTCGCAATCCTTGTTGTCAGCAGTGGTCCAGCACATGCCCTTACGTAAGCGCAGTCTAGCTTAAGACAAAGCGGGCGTACCTGTCGGACTTCAAATGGCGCCTTGATCGACTTGGGATGTGTAGCTAGAGCCAAATCTGCCCACGAAGCCTGTGCTGCGGCACTGAGCCGTTCTGGCTCAGGCGTTCTTCCTGAGCTTGCAGCAGCATGCCTCTTCAGAGCGGCCACGTGCTGCTGCGAGCCTTTCTTTTTTCAGGTGAGCTCCTGCTGGAGCAGTCAGCGAGCCCCCTCGGGGGCAGATGAGCAATGAGGGGCCCGTGCTCCCTGGCCCGAAGCAACCGTTCTGGGCCTGCGGAGGCTGCGGCCTCAACACCAACTGGGCCTCGCGGATCCAGTGCAGGTGCGGCAAGTCAGCCCCCCAGCGGGTGGTGTCAGCCGCGAAGCAGAATTCGAAGAAGAATGATGGCAACGGTAATGGGCGGTCTCCTCCTGCTGGGCGTCGTAACCCTGGTGGCGGAGGCGGCAACAATGACAAGCTGCAGAGACAGCTTGACGCCCTTCAGAAGAAGTACGACAAGCTGGCGTCCTCTACGACCTCCACAGCAGCCCCAGCAGGCGGTGCTGGAGATGAGCCCAAGGAGGACGCCAAAGAGAAGCAGATTCGTGACAGTATCAAGGACCTCGAGACCGCCATCAAGGCTGTGGGGAAGCTCAGCGACGGTGGCGGCACGGCCAAGACCTCCCTGGAGACGCAGCTTCAGGAGGCCAGGAAGGCCCTCTCGGAGTGCAAGCCGGCGCTTACTCAGCACACCAACACGGGTCACAAGTTGGCACGCATGGTGGCGAAGCGCAAGCAGCTCGGACAGGACGAGACCGAGCAGCTCCAGATCTTGCAGCAGGCACAGGAGAAACTTGACTCGATCCGAGCACAGCAGACTGTGTGTGACAAAGAGATCAAAGAGCTCAACCGTCAGCTTGTGCTCAATCTTCCTGGTAATTTGGGTCATGCTCCACTCAATCTCGAAGAAGTTCAACCAGGTGCTGACAAGGATGCGGTCTCGGCCATGCTCCAGTCAGATGTTTTCCAGAAGTACAAGCAGTTTCTCGAGGAGCAGCAGGTCAGAGCGGCATCGGCTGCGACGACCACGGCGGCTTCTTCTCCCTTTGATGGTGCTGGTGATGCAGCTATGCCTCAGGCTCAGCAACCACAAGCACCACCTCAAGCTCGATCGCCCTTCGCCAGTAATGAATGGGCGGACGCATCAGACGAACCCGTGCCTATCGACGTGGACGACCCAGACGTGCAGGAGCTCTTTTTCAGCGCCCAGCGCATTGAGAAGCGGGAGTGGGGCATCAAGTTGCAGGAGATCATGGCCAAGCGCCAGCGGCGCTCCTAGCAGCAGCAGTGAAGTGATGCCTCTGTGCTGCGGCCTGCCCCTGTCTAGGTTTGGCCTTCCAGTGCCTCCCCCCCTCCTCCTTCGGACTCCTCTTTGGGCACGATGGGCAGCGAGCTCGTTGAGACGTACAACG